GCGAAGTTGAACATGAAGATTTAGTTTTCAAGAAGGAAATAGAGCCATCAGATAGGTTTGAAGGAATCGAAGAAAAATATTTGGTAACTCCTGGATTAGTAGAAGTTGAAGAAAAGTATGACGAAAGGGTAATTTTAAAAGAGGTTAAACCACGAGACACTTTCGAAGAAATCGAAGAAAAATATGTAATAACTCCAGGAATGGAAATCCCAGGTGAAACTCTCGAAGAGATCGAGGAAAAATATGAAGAATTAGCTCCTAAGAAGGAAGTTGAACATGAAGATTTAGTTTTCAAGAAGGAAATAGAGCCATCAGATAGGTTTGAACGAATCGAGGAGAAATACAAGGAGACTGCATATGATACAATTTTTCCAAAAGCAATCAAAAAAGATTATTGGTTGGCGTCGAAAGACGATTTCATAACTTCCGATCAAGAAAAAATTGCAGTATCATACGAAGAATTATTTCCAGAAAAGGAGGTACAACATGTAAAATTATTTCCTCAGAAAGAAGACGCTGAATCTCGAGATTTCGATTCCGATATTCAAATGTACGCTAAAGAAAAATATTTTGGACGAACTCGAGAAATTCATGGAATGGATGAAACGCTTGTAAAGGAATCCAAACAATTTGGTAGAGTGACATTTTGATTTTATGAAAAAATAATCTAAAAATAAAAAGGAAAATAACGACCAATATCGAGCAGTAAGTACCTATTAGGTCAGTGAACTTATGGGATCCCGTGTGCATTAATTTCATCGATGTTTTTTAATTTTGAAATTGGTGCATAATAGATCGATTGAAGTTAGTTTTAAAATTTAGAGTACCACGAATTGGAGATTTAACATGCTATTTTATAGAATTCAAATACGGAAAAACTAAAAAAAACTAGGAGATTTTTATAAGATGGCCTCATCATCACAAGAAGTTATTGGATGAAAACATAAAAAAAGACCTATCTAAATAATGAAAGAGGGAAAAATGAGAAAAAATGAAGGCTGTATAGTAATATGAGTCCATCGACAATAAATTACAACAGATGTTTCGTGATAAATAATCTCTCTCTTTAAGTTATGGTCATCCGATATGGCCATATAGGATTTCCTTTGAAACAATCATAGCCTAGCCAGGTCCATCGTAAAGTGATTTTTTTCATAATCGGTGATTTTTCGATTATATACGCATGGATCCATGATTATAATATCTGAAATGAGCACTAGAACCACTCGAGTTCTATCGCAAAGAAGGCAGATATTCGATAATATTCGATATATTTGAATTAAATTAAATTTATACAACTCAATATCAATGTCCATAGGACCACATAGAATGTCCAAAATCTTGCCGCGCATATATATACAAAATTCTGCTCGTCTTTCTTAATGAATCTAGAAGATCGTTGATTGTACAGCTTTTTACAGTGGCGGATTAGGGTTGAATTACGTATCAGAATACGGAATAAATTTGATTCTCATATGATCTTTTCACCAAGGAAATTATTTAGGAAATGCGATGAAAATAACTCTCTCTGGTTTTTGCTTTTGTTAATTTTCGATCTATTTCTATTAAGAGGAAAGAAAAAAATAAATATATTAAATATACTAAAAAATACAAAAAAAAACGATAACTAAAGCTGAAATCGTTAAGATACTGAACTATAGAAGTAGGAATAACATTTAATCCAGAAAATATATAGCTGAAATGATTCAAACAAACAATTTTCTTCATGTTTAGATGAAATTATAGATGAAGGCGTTCATGGCATTTCGAAATGGATAAATATAATTAGCGAACCAGAACCCGCTGAATATCAAGAAGTGGAACTTGCGAAAGATACTGGATATTACGATATAGGTAAGTGCATATTAAATTTATAGCCGAATGAAAATTCATAAAACTAGTCAACATGTGATTATAAAAAATCCATCTTGATACTCATGGAAATTTATTGATATTATGCGATTTTCTTTTTTTTTTTTTAAAGGCAAATTTTATAATTTTTTTTTTATCAAATGAGAAACATTTGAGAAATATTTACTCCCTTAGGCAATATATAAAAATTAAAAAAAAAAATTGGAAAAGAAAAAAAACTAAAATTAAAAATTAGAAATTAAATATTATCTATTAAATATTATAATAGATGAACGATATTTAATAGCTTAGTAATTAGTATTAGTTAAGATTTTGAATATAATTAAATAATGAAACCTTTAAAAAAAAGATTTAAAAAAGCAGTAAAATTAAAAATTTTGATAATAATAAAGTATAACGAACGATTTGCAAAAATCATTCATTATTCATTTATTTATAATTTTTTTTATGTAAAAAATTATAATTTTTTTTCTTTTTTTTTTGTTTTATTTTTCAATTGGCTATTTTTAAAAGTTTTTTTATTATGAAAATAAGAAAAAATACGAGAACTTATTTTATTTTCATAATAATAAAAATTTTATCAATAATAAATAATAATTTTCTTCTGCTTCTTCTTCTTCCTCTTCGTTTTCGTCTTCCTCAATAGTTCTATTAATGCGACTCGTAAAAATTAGTTAATTTATTATTTCAATTTAAATTTCGCTATTTTTCATTAGTCATTTAAGAATAATATGAATGTAGATGAACGAGAAATAATTTCGATGAGCAAAGAAGAGAAGCTTAGTGAAATGCACCAAATCGGTGACGATATTAAATGTAAATCATCTATTATTTTTGATTATGGAAAGAAGAAATCATTAGAATCATTTTTATACGCTGAACGATCAGGTAAACTTAATATTCACAGGAAAAACTATAAAATAATTAAAGAAATAAATTAATGAAAAATCTAAAAAGCTATAAAAAAAAAGAAGCCAAGAAAAAACCAAAAACAATTTGAAAAATACAAAAGAAAAAAAACTTAGAAATTATTAGAAATTAATTATTAGAGGATTAGAGGAATATACTAGAAAGGAAGAAGATGAATGAGACTCGAATAATTATCACTTTATATCACTTATCATTTATCAGTTATTATAAGATAAATAGACGTAAATATATTCCTATAGATAAGATAAAATTTAGAGATAAACTATATAGTATTATTGTTTGTATGCATAGAAAACAACCTCACAAACAAACCTCTTCAAATATATAATTGAAATTGAAGAAATTCATAAAAAAAAAAAAATATCGTTGCAAGATTATGAGATTAAAGGAGAGAAAAATTCGTATTATTTTATGCAATAACCAAAAAAATCTCCACTAATTGGTGAAAATAAGAATGAATTTGTGGAAAAAAAAAACTAAGATAGAAAGAAGTGAAGATGCTATATTTGCATTAGCTTAAATTGATACAATTGATATGATAAAAATGATATGAGGACAGCAAATATTCTTATGATTACTCGTGCGATTTCTTCAAGGCAACGGAAAAAATGCATCGATGAAAGTAAATCGCTCACTCAAATAGAGCATATTACAGATAATGAGAATATTGCATCGCAGCCCTCAATAACACAGCTAACGATGGCAGATGTCAAAAAACGTCTAAAAAAATATCGGGAAGATTTTTTCGAAGAACAAATAGATACAATTAGTGAGAAACAAAAAATTATGGACGACAAAAAAATTTTTAAAATCACAAAAAAACCTGAAGTTAGTGAGGAACACATTTTGGAAGAAACTGAAAAAGTTACAAATATTTATGATGAAAAGCAGGAAGAAACATTCGAACCTGTAATTAAGAAGGAAAAAATCTTCGAAGAGAAACTTCCTAAACATGAAGAAGTTGAATACGAATATGAAGCTGCTCGTGAACTTGCTAGAAGTCCCGAAGTTAGTGAAGAATCTATTCCGGAAAAGATTAAGGAAGTTGCTGTTGCTCTTGAAGAAAAACCAGAGGAAATAATTGAACCATTAGTAAGTAAAGAAAAGCTTTTCGAAGAAGAGATAGAGAAAATTCCCCGAAAGGAAGAAGTTGAATTTAAATATGAATATGAAGTTGAATATGAATATGCTGCTCGTGAACTTGCTAGAAGTCCCGAAGTTAGTGAAGAATCTATTCCGGAAAAGATT